GTTTCTGCTAATATTACATATTTCTTTTTTATATAAACTTTATTAATTTTGCATACTCAGTACGAAAACCATTTTATAATCAAATTTTATCTCCCGCTTAATCTCTAAACTGGGGTAACAACATTTCTAACTCCCCTCGAAATATTCATATTTTACGAAATTATCGCAACGAACGTCGTTGGGGTTGCTCGTGGGTCCCGGGAATAATTTTAATGAAAAGTCCGAACGTAACCTCCTCGGTGGAAAGTGCGTCGTGGGGTCGGTTCGGCGGGTGACATCAGCTGTTACGCACAGTTGAGTGCTCGTCTCCCTACGCACATAACGCCATAACGCTCCCGCGAGCACATTATGAAAGGAGCGGTGCCGTAGCGGCGGCGGTGGCGTCGTAGTTGTCGTTCTTATCCACGGCGCCACGACGGCTTCTCGGTACTGAAAACTGAAGAAGAGACGCGATACCCGATGAATCACCATCATCCCCAAAAACCAAATCGTAAGGGTGCTGTTCAGATCGGCGTGAGCTCTAATCCCAATTCGTTTCGATTTTAAATCTAGGTCATGGTGATGATGGTGAAGGGAGTGTTGGTTATTGTTGTATTGGAAGGGTATTTTTTTTCTTTTTAAATTTCTTTTTAACTAATTGGGTCTTTTAATTTGATCTCCATAACAAAAATAGAATGTAAGAAAAGTTAGATTCTTATGCATATTTTTCACTCATAAGCAAAGAGTTTTTTAGTTGCTGATGTTCAAGTCTGTACACAAAAGCTTATTCATTGTATCATAGCAGGTTTTCAAATATTTCAGATGATTTCTTTTCAAGAAATTTTCAATACTTGTCAATAGTCAAATTATCTCAATAAAATATGGTGCTATAAGTTTATCTCCAATTTCTCACCAAACATTAATTGCCCAAAAACATGATACGACAAAAAAAGTTATTTCATAAATCTTTACTTATCAACGTTTTTCCAAACACTCAGACGAGAAATTTCTGATTGCTACATTATTTTTTGGACACTCGACTATGGGTTATCACCTATTTTGGTGTTATTGGTTATGATTTTTCATTAAAGAGTTATCTCATGCTTCCAATGTTCCTACATGATATTTTTTCCGACTTCTCATTAACTATTGTACCATTAATATACTTGACGAAGCAAGTATATTGAATCTATATTGGATTTACATTCGACGGAAATGAAATGATTTATTTCTTATTAAATCTACATGTACTTATTTGCAGTCTTTTCTGTGAAAACTTGATCTCAGGAAAATTGGCAGGTTTTGATAATCTCCGGCTTCATTTATCAAAACAAGTTTCATAATTTCTCTTAGGTACCATTGATATGATAACATGATTTTTTCGGTATGAGTTATGCTAAAAGATCCAATACTTCTGGGTGGCAAAGAAATCAGTGACTAATATCATATTGACTAGATACTAGTTATCATACAGCAGTGTCTACCTGTAACCAATATATGTCTGATATTACTTATAATATCGATGCGCCTCGGCTGAAAGAGGTTTCTTACTGAGACTCAGTGACTAATATCATATCAATCTGATACTGGTTTTTGTATGATAGTGCCTCGGCCGCAAGCGGTCTTGTCAGGGACTACTATCATATATATCTAATACTTGTTATCATATAGCAATGTGTCGGAGCCGCTGTTCAAAACTGCTTACTTTGCACAGTGTCAATCGTTATTTTCATATTCTCTGTTGGCCTGGGGAAACTGCTCGTGTTGGCTCATGTCATATGTGGTCTGAAGTATCGAAACGAGTGCCGTGAATTCTTTATAAATCAGAAAATACTAACATTTCCCTCGCTATTTATATTAGAGTGTCTGCTGTACTTGCACGGCAATGTCGATGAATATACTGCCCACAGAGATATACACAGCTATAAAACCCGTAACAATCATAAGCTACAACCTAAATTTTGCAGACTCCCTAAGTCAGGGAAAGGTGTAGATTTTACTGCACACAAGCTTTACAATACATTACCTTTAACTCTTACACTTTTACCTGCGAGCAAGTTTGCAATATTGATGAAGCAATTTCTGCTGTTGAGAGGTTTCTATTTCTATTCGAAGTTCCTTGAATATGAATTTTGAATGTGATTGTACTATGTAATGTGTGCTTTGTTATTTTTTTTCTCTTTGTAAATTTTTTCTATATGACGAGTGTAAAAAGTGTATATTTTGGATGTACAAATAAATATTCAGACATCGTTAGGGGCTAACATCATATCAATCTGATACTGGTTGTCATATAGCAGTGCGTCCACAACAAGCGGCATCGCCAGGGACTAATATCATACCTATGTGATGCTGGTTATCATATAGCAGTGTTTCTGCAACAAGCAACCTCAGCTTTATCATGTAAAGTTGTAGATCTTATAACTTATTAAGCCGAGGTTGCTTGCGGCCGATGCTCAGCGACTAATATCATATCAATCTGATACCGGTTATCATATAGCAGTGCCTCGTCAGCAAGCGGCATCGCCAGGGATTAATATAATACCTATCTGATACTAGTTATCATATAGCAGTGCCTCGACAGCAAACGGCATCGCCAAGGACTAATATCATACCTATCTGATACTGGTTATCATATAGCAGTGCTTTTGCAACAAGCAACCTCGGCTTTATCATGTAAAGTTGTAGATCTTATAACTTTTTAAGCCGAGATCGCTTGCAGCCGAGGCTCAGCGACTAATATCATATGAATCTGATACTGGTTATCATATAGCAGTGCCTCGGCAGCAAGCGACATCGCCAGGGACTAATATCATATCTATCTGATACTGATTATGATATAGCACTGCTTTTGCAACAAGCAACCTCAGCTTTATCATGTAAAGTTGTAGATCTTATAACTTATTAAGCCGAGGTTGTTTGTGGCCGAGGTTCAGCGACTAATATCATATTATATCTGATACTGGTTATCGTATAGCAATGTATTGGCTGCAAGCGGCTTCGTCAGGGATTAATATCACACCTATCTGATACTGGTTATCATATAGCAGTGCTTTTGCAACAAGCAACCTCGGCTTTATCATGTAAAGTTGTAGATCTTATAGCTTATTGAGCCGAGGTCGCTTGCTGCTTAGGTTCAGCGACTAATATCATATTAATCTGATACTGGTTATCATATAGCAATGCCTCGGCAGCAAGCAGCATCGCCAGGGAGTAATATGATACCTATCTGATACTGGTTATCATGTAGCAGTGCTTCTGCAACAAGCAACCTCGGTTTTGTCATGTAAAGTGGTAGATCTTATAACTAATTGAGCCGAGGTCAATCATATGCGGCTGAGGTTCAGCGACTAATATCATATGTATCTGATATTGATTAAACTTGCTTTGATCGGCATCAGATACATTTTTGAACAACTGATTATAAAATTGTAATGCTTAAGAAGGAATAATCTAATTATGAATTACAGCTTTTTAGCTATTTCCTAGATGGTTGAAAACTGCGATAATGATTTTTTAAGAAAAAACACAATATGTTGATAGTTACTCCACGGTGTAATAGTTAACACTCTAAGCTTAATGAGTTTCAATCAAAAATAGAGAGTTTCACAAAAATATTCTTAATACTTTTATAGTTGTTTTAAAAAATCGTTCTAGTTAGTTGAAAAAGAACACAAAGAGTAGAAATCAATATTACTCTTGCTTAGATGAGAATATGGACCAAAAAAATTTTGAAAACCAAAGAAAATAGTGGTGTGTGTATAAGAAATGGAATTTTATAGTTCTTATTGCAACCTAAAGAAGGAACAAATTGAGCTGAGGAGCTGTTAATGAAGATGCAAGAAAAATATCATCAGCAATGAAATTTAAGTTACAATAAAGTTTAAGAACAGAAATGTAGGGCATAATTTGGGATAGAACTTCCAGTACAAAGAGTGATTGAGAAATTCGTCACCATTTTTGCATACAAACCCAATTCAACTAAAAATTATGAAACGCAGAAATAATAGATCATATATTGTAGCTGTATTTGTTGCATTTCGTTATTTATGGCAAAAAGAGGATGTTATCCAATATCTTTTTATATAAATAATATTTGATTAATGGGTAACGGAGAAAATAATAAATAGAAATCTTAATAAGACAAGTCTCTTTGAATTGTTTATGCATCTGTGGTAATATCAGGAAGTGTTTTGCAGAAAGATGTAGAGTGGGTTGAAACTATTCGAAATGTTTTTATGTCAATGCAAATAAAATGGAATTAATACTTTTCAAGGAAATGGAAGTTTGCCATATTAAGTTCAAGCAAAAATTTTTGATATTATTTGCTAAATACTAATGTTGGGAATTATTGTTCTAGAATTAGAAAGAAATATATTGTAGGTCTCTATCAGCGTAACTCATTCTTACATATGATGGTCCCAGTCATCTCATAATCAATAAGGTGTTTAAACGAGAATCAAGAAATTTAACTTTAAGAGACTTGCTTTGCTACTCATTCAATGGAAGAATCCAGATAATATTTAATTTATCTTCTGACTAATGCATAAGGTTTGAAAAAATCATAATATCGATTAAGTCCAAAATGCATCATTCAAAACCAAATAGCCTAAAGCTCTTTCACTCCATCGGCTCATATCCACATCTATAATTTCGTGGTTAGCATTTCGACGCCATCCGTCGTCATCTCCAAATTCAAACGGCGCCGTCGACGCTAACACCCTCGAGCGAACGACGCGCGCACTCCAAAGTTGTCGGGTCCGCTGGCGCCCTCTGCTCGGGAAAATCAACTTCCGCCCCACTGGGCAATTCGCCCTTTGCTAAAATCGATGGTTCGTTCTGCCCTCCGAGCGCCCCATTGGGCATTTTCCTCGTCGCACCGTCACGGTTCTTCGTCGCTCGAATCTCCGGATTGGTGGCTGAACGGAAACGTTTGACGTTGTCCACACCTCGCACGAGGCAACTTGATAGATGTAGTGGCGGTTATCAGTCGGTGGTTGTCGGCCCTGGTTCACTGCTGTTCAGGTGATCGTCCAGTGTAGATCGGCCTTGATTTTCTTTATACTAAGTTTTAAAACACCCGACGGCGGCGGGTTGGTTCACTACTTAGTAAAAACATTATTATTTATTCGGGTGCGACGAGAGGGAGGGTTAATTTAATTTCTTAACGGCCGATTAAGTATGAAATTTAATTAAAGGGGTTTTACATTTGTTTGTTATTTTGAAAGTTAGTGTCGGGTTCGGACGATTGATTCGAATTTCGCGCCGAACATTGAATGTTGATAAATTAAATAAAATTTAGTGACTATTTAAAACATTAGTTTTGTGGTGGTTTTTATTTTTAAATCCGAGGACTCATTGAAGATTTCTCATTGTGGATGATGAATGAGAAGAGTTAAAGTGATTTGTCAATTAAAATTTTAATTTTTCTCTTATCTAAATGTAAGTATATTAATTAATTAACATGTAGCTTTAAAGTTTAATGAGGATTCAATTTTTTTCTTAAATTTCAAAGTTGAAATTTTTATTTTAATTAAACTAAAACTTTTTGGTTGTGTTACAATAGGACAATTTTCATATGATTCAATTAAGCGGTTTGCGAAAGGAAATTGGTCCTTTTAGGTGCACGTCCAAATTTGTCCGATTATCTCTCTAACGCGAAGACCGAAAAAGAAATTTAATTAAGTCCCGGCGAATCCTACAAGCTGAGAAGTACCGCTATACGCCGTATCAGTCACGGGTAGTTAATCTTCTCCCGGACCGTATCCGTTGTTTTCCCGGATAAGTACACCAATAAATCTCCCGACGCTAATGAAAATTAACTTTGCAAGCTTCCTCCCTCTCCACCACACGAATTAAATACTTTTATCTACACTTAATTCGTCGGATACATAATCAAGATGATTTTTTTTAATTACTTTGTTACAGATTTTCTGCGTTTAAAATAATTCGCCATCATTCTTCCGGCCCAGCAATTAGGTGCCAGCGTGGCACCATGGCCTTCAGCCATCACTTCGGTAGACGATATGGCGCACAAAGGTAAAGGTAATAAAAAGGAAAATTAACACGGTAAATTGACGGAAAAAAATTATTTACCTATAGTTTTTCTATAAAATTAATTTAATTTATCATTCACACTGTAAATTCTTGTAAGATTTATAAAGGCGTGAAAACCTTTCCTTCTTAAAAATCTCGAAAAATCCTTTTTGCCGGACAGACCCGCGTGTCCATTGTCATTTTCCGGAATCTCCGAGGCCTTTTGTAGTAACCTATAGTAGTGCCGAGTTCTTTAGTCGTCTCCGTCTACGATCGGGTCCTTTAAAAACGACGCCGAGCGTCGCCGTCTTTCTTGTTCTCGTCGTTTTCGTCCCTTCGTCTTTCAAGCCTGGGAGGCAACCACTCTCTTTCGTTCTTCCAGTAAATTGTCCGAGCGCGGGCTGCGTCCGGTGCTTAAGAATATTTACGGGTGGAAAAAGTGTCCCCGAACGCGGACCAGCAATTTTATTTCGTTTTATAGCCTCCTTCCCTTAAAGCTTCTCGGACCTTAAGAGGAAAAGAATTTATGGAGATTGAGGACCTGATGTTGGGATAGGTTTTTAGAACGATAAGAATTTTAGATTTTTCTTATCTATGTTGTTTCTTGATAAATTTTTAATGTTTCGTAAAAAAATACAGATTAATAAAAGGAAGGGAGTGTTCGTTATAGCTAAAAAAATCTATATAATAGATTAATAATAAATAATTGAGTTAGAATAATTGTTGGATTGGGTTCAGTCTACGTGGTTTTATATTTGTATCAAAGACGGTAGAATCTAAGAGAAATCTATAGCCCGGAAACAAGTGCACAGCTCGAAGGCCCGTTCGTGACGTCAGCGCTGAATAACAATTAAAATTAACGCACGGGTGAAGACGCGAAAGTTTCTAATTCTACGTCTGGTATTAGTCTAGTTTTAGTTCAATAAAAATATATAACATAACGATATCTAGTGTTAACTAGCGCTACCTAACTCTGTCACTCGAACTAACATTAGACCTAGAACTAGAAACATTTCGGTTTAGCCGTACGTCTCTTAAGACGGCTAAACCTGAATGATTCTAGTTCTAGGTCTAGTATTGGTTCTACTCCTAGTTCAAGAAATATATACTACAATTTAGCGTTGAAAAACAATTAAAACTAGAACTAACACTAGACCTAGAACTAGAAAGTTTCGCTGAAAAAACATTCTTAAGGTAACTTTTTATGAAAAATGTCATGACACAACTAGAAATTTTCTCCGACGTTTCGTTTTCGTAAAACTATCATCAGGTTTATTTTTTCTTATGAATGCCATATTTGATTTTCACACCAAAAAATAGGATATCATTTAAAAAAACATTGAATTATTCAAAAACAAAAAAAAGGAATATCTTATTAGGAGGCTGTAACTTGTGCGCTAATTGTTTTCATTTAATTTCTAGTTGTGTCATGACATTTTTTATAAAAAGTTGCCTTAAGAACATTTTTTCAGATTCTAGATCCAAAAACTTTGTAGAAAAATGATGAGCTCTAAGATACGCAACTTTGGCCCCAATTAGCCATTTCTGTATCTCTTATGGTTTCTGAAATCCCAACGGTGGGGTCGAATTTGAATTAGTCAGTATAATACATATATATCTATATTTTCAAAATTTTTGCTTTTTCTTAAATTAAAATCTAAATTTTTGATATCTTCACTAGATGGCGATAAACGCTGACATAAAGAGTGATATTTTTGGGATTATCTCAATAATTACTGGTTGAATCAAAAAATGTGTCAAATATTATTTGTTTAGAATTAAATCAGCAACAACTTTTATTTGAAAAATTTTCTAAAATTGTTGCTATTTCTTTACTTACAATCTAAATTTTTTAATTTCCCTCTAAATAGTACAAAAAAATATAAATTATTGCAAAATTGCGGTTAAATTGTCTCAAATAAAAGCTAAATCGAACTAAAATACGACTTCTTAGTGTTATTAATAACAATTTTTGATATCTTCACTATATGGCGATAAACGTTAACATGAAAAGTGATATTTTTGAGATTATCTCAATAATTATTGATGGAATCAAAAAATGTCTCAAACATTATTTGTTTAGAATTAAATCAGCAACAACTTTTATTTGAAAAATTTTCTAAAATTTTTGCTATTTCTTTACTTACAATCTATATTTCTTAATTTCCCTCTGAATAGTACAAAAAAAGATATAATTGCAAAATCACGGTTAAATTGTCTAAAATAAAAGCTAAATCGAACTAAAATACGATTTCTTAGTGCTATTAATAACAATTTTCGATATCTTCACTATATGACGATAAACGCTGATATAAAAAGTGATATTTTTGAGATTATCTCAATAATTATTGGTTGAATCAAAAAATGTGTCAAATATTATTTGTTTAGAATTAAATCAGCAACAACTTTTATTTGAAAAATTTTCTATAATTTTTGCTATTTCTTTACTTACAATCTAAATATCTTAATTTCCCTCTGAATAGTACAAAAATGATATAATTACAGTTAAATTTCCTCAAATTAAAACTAAATCGTATTAAAATACGATTTCTTAGTGTTATTAATAACAATTTTTGATATCTTCACTATATGGCGATAAACGTTGCTATAAGAAGTGATATTTTTGAGATTATATCAATAATTATTGGTTGAATAAAAAATGTGTCAAATATTATTGGTTTAGAATTAAATCAGCAACAACTTTTGTTTGAAAAATTTTCTAAAATTTTTGCTATTTCTTTACTTACAATCTAAATTTTTTAATTTCCCTCTGAGTAGTACAAAAAAAAGACATAATTGCAAAATCACGGTTAAATTGTCTAAAATAAAAGCTAAATCGAACTAAAATACGATTTCTTAGTTTTATTAATAACAATTTTTGATATATCCACAATATGGCAATAAGCGCCGATATCAAAAGTGATGTTTTTGAGATTATCTCAATAATTATTGGCTGAATCAAAAAACGTGTCAAATATTATTTGTTTAGAATTAAATCAGCAACAATTTTTATTTGAAAAATGTTCTAAAATGTTTTCTCTTTCTTTACTTACAATCAAAATTTCTTAATTTCCCTCTAAATAGTACAAAAAAATATAAATTATTGCAAAATCGCGGTTAAATTGTCTCAAATAAAAGCTAAATCGAACTAAAATACGATTTTTTAGTGTTATTAATAACAATTTTTGATATCTCCACTACAAGGTGATAAATGCTGATATAAAAAGTGACATTTTTGAGATTATCTCAATAATTATTGTTTGAATTAAAAAATGTGTCAAATATTATTTGTTTAGAATTAAATCAGCAACAACTTTTATTTGAAAAATTTTCCTAAATTTTTGCTATTTTTTTACTTACAATCTAAATTTCTTAATTTCCCTCTGAATAGTACAAAAATGATATAATTACAAAATTACGCTTAAATTGCCTCAAATTAAAACTAAATCATTTTAAAATACGCTTTCTTAGTGTTATTAATAACAATTTTTGATATCTTCACTATATGGCGATAAACGCTGATATAAAAAGTGATATTTTTGGGATTATTTCAATAATTATTGGTTAAATCAAAAAATGTATCAAATATTATTTGTTTAGAATTAAATCAGTAACAACTTTTATTTGAAAACTTTTCCTAAATTTTTGCTATTTCTTTACTTACAATATAAACTTCTTAATTTCCCTCTGAATAGTACAAAAATGATATAATTACAGTTAAATTGCCTCAAATTAAAACTAAATCGTATTAAAATACGCTTTCTTAGTGTTATTAATACCAATTTTTGATATCTTCACTATATGGCGATAAACAGTGACCTAAAAAGTGATATTTTTGAGATTATCTCAATAATTATTGATGGAATCAAAAAATGTCTCAAACATTATTTGTTTAGAATTAAATCAGCAACAACTTTTGTTTGAAAAATTTTCTAAAATTTTTGCTATTTCTTTACTTACAATCAAAATTTCTTAATTTCCCTCTGAATAGTACAAAAAAAGATATAATTTCAAAATCGCGGTTAAATTGTCTCAAATAAAAGCTAAATCGAACTAAAATATGATGTCTTAGTGTTATTAATAACAATTTTTGATATCTCCACTACACGGTGATAAACGCTGACATAAAAAGTGATATTTTTGAGATTATTTCAATAATTATTGGTTGAATCAAAAAATGTGTCAAATATTATTTGTTTAGAATAAAATCAGCAACAACTTTCATTTGAAAAATTTTCCAAAATTTTTGCTATTTCTTTACTTACAATCAAAACTTCTTAATTTCCCTCTGAATAGTACAAAAATGATATACTTACAAAATTACGGTTATATTGCCTCAAATTAAAACTAAATCGTATTAAAATACGATTTCTTAGTGTTATTAATAACAATTTTTGATATCTCCACTACATGGTGATAAACGCTGACATAAAAGTGATATTTTTGAGATTATTTTAATAATTATTGGTTGAATCAAAAAATGTGTCAAATATTGTTTGTTTAGAATTAAATCAGCAATAACTTTTATTTGAAAAATTTTTCAAAATTTTTGCTATTTTTTTACTTACAATCTAAATTTCTTAATTTCCCTCTGAATAGTACATAAAAAGATATAATTGCAAAATCACGGTTAAATTGTCTAAAATAAAAGCTAAATCGAACTAAAATACGATTTCTTAGTGCTATTAATAACAATTTTCGATATCTTCACTATATGACGATAAACGCTGATATAAAAAGTGATATTTTTGGGATTATCTCAATAATTATTGGTTGAATCAAAAAATGTGTCAAATATTATTTGTTTAGAATTAAATCAGTAACAACTTTTATTTGAAAACTTTTCCAAAATTTTTGCTATTTTTTTACTTACTATCTAAATTTCTTAATTTCCCTCTGAATAGTACAAAAATGATATAATTACAAAATTACGCTTAAATTGTCTCAAATTAAAACTAAATCATATTAAAATACGCTTTCTTAGTGTTATTAATAACAATTTTTGATAT